GAAAGGAAAGGAAAGGAAAGGAAAGGAAAGGAAAGGAAAGGAAAGGAAAGGAAAGGAAAGGAAAGGAAAGGGTTATTCGAAGTTGAGCGTATAATTCATTTTCTTTCCTCCAAAAAAACAAAAAATTTGGTCACATCTGGGACAGATCCATCTCCCACTTTTGGCCAAGGAAATATTTCTGCTGCTGAGGGAATTGCCAAGAAGTAGGCTTCCGCATTGGCCGGTGGAACTCCCCGCCACGGGAAGCAGGGAGCTCACCTGTACCGGAGGCATTTCGGCAAAAATCTGGAAACGCTCTGCCGCCCAAACAGTAAACTCGTCCCTCCTGTTTCGCTCCAGCCCCCTGCCCCATCCCCGAGTTGCCAGAACAATATATTTCAGGGCAGAGCTGAGCGGACTCCGCATCGGTGACCTTTGTCTCAAGCCCCTTCCCACTGTAATCCAGCAATTCTCCATTTTTCAGAAGGCTTCAAAGCAGCGGACGATGGGAACAGCTCAGCGTGGGCAAACAGGCTAATAAAATCAAGTTGTTGGGTGTTAGCAACGCATTTCCAAATGCCGCTTCAAAGAGATCTATTAAACCCCCACGCATTGCCTCCTGAGCTCTGGCACAGACGGGGGGAGATAAATCTGCCATATAAATAAAAACAGAGAAACACACACACACACACGTCCTACTGCACTTGTCTTTCCAAGTCACGCTCGCCTGTAAAAGTCTCTTTCATTTTGACTTCCAAGCCAGGGGAAAAAAAAAACGCTTGCTGTCAGTTCAAGAAATACGAGCAGTGAGCCCATCGTCCTCTTCCCGTGGAGAAACCCATAAATCCCTCGTGTTTAGAAAGGTAGACTTTTCAGAGGCCGCAACGTCTCTTTTCCCTTTCTTTCCGTGCAAAGTTTCCTGCGGGAGGTCAAATCGATCAATAAAACGTTCCTTTCAATTCGCCGGCCCAAACGCATCATCGATGCAAAAGAGAGACGATTCAGACCAGGAGAAAACAAGGAAGATAACCCTAAAAAGAATACTGGAGGGGAGAAATTGCCCCCCACATTTTATTTGCAAGACTGTTCAGCTCCCAGACAATGGGAACATCCTTTGCCTTCCCCTAAAACAGCTGCTATAGTTTACAGAACGAGGCTGAAGAAACAGAGTTAACGGAGACAGAGAGTTCTCCTTTACGAAAAAAAAGCAATTGAATGTATAGACAGAGAACAATCTGAGCCAGCCGCAAGGGAAAGACACAGCTGCTTTAAAGAGTTGCAAACGGAGGCTATGTTGCTGCCCGCCAAAGCTATTTGTAAGAATCAAATTCAAAAGCTGATCCAGTCCTGAGAAACTGTCTGAACAAGGAATAATCTTGGGGATTGTCATGGTCTGTGGGAAGGACCTCGGGAGATAGGAAGAAGGCAATGGTCAGATAAGAGGCAGCTGAGCCCACAGCAGGAATGGAGGGGTGGAAAGCTCAGAAGGGACCCTCCCTAGTTTCTTGGGCTGTAAAGGCAGGAGTCTGTTTCACTATGATTAAGAAAACTAACCATGCTTTCAACTCCCAGAACTAACCATGATTAAGCAATATGACTTAAACAGGGCTTAGCATGGGGTTTTGATTCTCCCCTGTTTACAGGATTTGAGTTTTCAGTCTTTCTGGAATAATCCAGTACTGGTAACGTAACCGTACAATAAAGTAGAATGAGCTCATCTGGACATGCTTCTTGTCTGGACTACCCCGCAAGGCTAACAGGGAGAGACGTTTCATTCTGGTTCTAGTGGGGTTTCTTTGCCATGTGACCTGAACGGACAATGGGGAGCAAGGATTCAACTGAAGGGGGCAACTCACCATATTGGCAGCAGGATCCTCGAAAGCCTGAAGGGCAGCGACAAACTCGAGGGGCTCCCTCAGCAGGCTGGCCTCCGTGGAAGCACACGCCATCATTGCACACGGCTAGGAAGAGAAGATCAAGAGACGGTGCATGACACAAAGTCAGAAAGGCAAATAACATTCACCCACTCTGCAGCCTGCAAGCTGCTTGCTCTTCAACTGTCATGGTCTGTGGGAACGATCTTGGGAGACAGGGCGAAGAGCCACAGACAAGGGAATGGTTAATAAGAGGCAGCTGAGCCCACAGCAGGAAAAGGGCCATGGGAAGCATCTCAGAAGGAATCCTCTGAGAAACCAGGGAGGGTCCCTTCTGAGATGCTTCCCACGTCCCATCCCTGCTGTGGGCTCAGCTGCCTCTTATCCAACCGTTGACTAGTTTGCGGCTCTTCCTCCTGTCTCCCAAGGCCATCCCCACGGACCATTACTCCAACATGCTTCCCCATCATTCCCTCTGGAGGTGTGAAAAGTCCCCATGGGAAGAACTTAGCGGGGCATGGTCTCATCCAAGTCCTTTCCCCACCAGAAACAGGGAACTCGCTCCGAGGGTCCTCAGAAAATCCTCATTCTCTAACAGGATGATGTCGGAAGGGGGTTATGGAAGACGACAGTGATGCTCAATTCCCTGGTTTCTGAAGCTTTGCTAACTACACACCCCACATTTGATTTCCACCCAAACATTTGCACCAATTTGATGCAACTTGCAGTTCCAATTGTGGGTTTTGGACTGTTCTTTCCGACCTCAACTTGAACTGAATGCAGCTGCTTCACTTAGGGGATACGAAACACTGACTCGATAGAAAAAAATGGTAGAAGAGGAGAAACTACACTATATGGGGGGCCTGAAGACTGACTTTTTTGGTAGAATCGTGGACCAGAAGGATCCGTTCCTCCCACCTCTGCCCTGAAGCAATTTGACAGCAGCCTCTGCCCAGGGGTTTTCTTGACATGATCTTCTTCAAGGAAGCCTTTGGCTTTCAATCTAACCTGCAGCCTTGAGCTCGCCTAGTGGCCCTCCATCCAAGTACTAACCAGCATGACTTTCCTTGCTTTGGAGATCTGCCAAGGTTGGCTAGGTGATGCCTGTTGCTCTGGGCCACCACGTCAGCCCCCAGTGAAATGCCAAAGAAATTCTCAAGCTCCCCGACAATAAGGTAGAAAAACAGAAGCCCATTTGGCAGAGAAAGAAAACTTATTTCTAAAGCATAAGGCTTCATTATGAAGATCCAAGCGCAACACCAGCTTCGTATCAATCACGAGGGGAAAAAAAGATATTCTGTGACTATTTGATGATTGCCTCATTTCATCTGTAGCCATCCTAAATTACATTTCTGTAGGTCCTGGTAAAAAATTCAGCGGGAAAACAGAACAAAGAGCTGTGGGTTTCCTTATAGTTCTCTGTACATCACCTTTAACCATGATAGATTTTTTTTCCTAAGTCATAAATGCTCTCATTGTTTAGTTTTATCACAGCGCAAACAGGCCTGACCTCCAGTAATACCGCTCCATTAACCTCCCACATAAATTTCCTCCTATTCTTTGTCTGCCAGCGTAAGCCAAAATGCACTGAGTTTTAATTCTCTGGAACAAGGACAAGTTTATCCCGTTTTTCAAGTGTTAACAAGAAAACACAAACACCAGGCCCCCAAGTCCCCAAAGGTAATCAGGTTGGCCTGCCCAGCCCCAACATCTGCGCCCGGTTCCCAAATGACAAACGGGCCTAAAACGAACGTCAAACTGCAGCTGCAGAATTGGACTTCGATCAATTCATCCGATCAATGGATCGATCTTTATATCCCCGGTCGAGGCCTTTGCGAGTCCAGAAACAGATTCCTCCACCCCCACGTGCTCGGACTGGGATCAGCCGAAGGGACCTAGAAGGCACCCGATCTGCTCGACTTGTCGGTTAAAAGCATCATTAGTAGAGAGTGGGAAGGCTTATTGAAGCAACGATACGGAAGTTTCAGCCGCTGCCGAAAGGCAAAGAGGCGCCGTTGCGCAGAGCCCGGGACGTCTGCAGATCTGCCGTTCAGAATCGCAAAACCCATGAGCGGCGTTTGGTCAGGCTACCAAAAACACACGGTAGGGCTTTGCGCAACGTCCCCGAAAAGAGGAGAAACGGGAGGAGAGTTTTGGATCGAAATAAAATAATGATCTAGTTCGGTCTGTCTGTCTGTCTATCTATCCTATCACCTATATATATCACCTATGTATCCTCTATCATCTATCTATCCATCTCGTCTATCTATCCATCATCTATCTATCTATCTATCCATCTATCCATCTATCCATCTATCCATCTATCCATCTATCCATCTATCCATCTATTTTTCTTCCATCACCTATCTATTCATCTATCACCTACTGTATG